CTGAAGTCTGTCGCCTTGGCTCTCCCTATCTATGCCATGTCCTGCTTTAAAATCCCAAAGGATGTATGTGCTAAATTAACAAGTGCAATGTTGGAGTTCTGGTGGACTTCGGGAGTTAACAAGAAGAAGATCTCATGGGTGGCTTGGAAAAAGATGTGTAAAGCTAAAGAACTTGGTGGTATGGGCTTTCGAGATATAGAGAAATTTAATCACTCGTTGCTTGCTAAGCAAGCATGGCGTATCTGGTCCAATCCCACCTCATTAGTTGCTCGGATCTATGAGCAACGGTATTTTTCTCGTTCCTTCTTTATGGATTGTAGGGTTGGGACGCGTCCTTCATATGCCAGAAGAAGTATACTCCATGGAAGAGAGCTGTTATCGCAGGGTTTATTGCAGAAGATTGGTGATGGCACAAACTCTCGACTTTGGATTGACAATTGGATAATGGACGATCCCCCTAGACCTCCTCGTTATCGTCAAGATGGGATTGTTGATCTTACATTATCCGTCAGTGATTTATTGGATGTTCAGCGAGGCGGTTGGAACTCCCATAAAGTTAGAGAGATAATCCATGAGGAAGATGTGCCAAGGGTTCTGAATACTGGTTCTAACTCTCTGAGAGAGATTGCAAGATATGGGGTTTCTCCAGAAATGGTGTTTATAACTCCAAGTCTGGATACAAACTTTCTGAAACAATTGAGCTTCACCAGGCTTCCTCGGGTCCTCCTATGCCTCCTATTGAGAATAGGTTGTGGCAAGACTTATGGAAAACAAAGACGACTCCCAAGATCCGCCACTTTATGTGGAGAGCACTTTCAGGAGCGTTGGCTGTGAGAAAAGGGTTGAAATCGCGTGGCATCTTACTAGACACTACATGTCCTCGTTGCGGTCTTCATATAGAAACAATATGCCATGTTCTGTTCCATTGTGAACCTGCAAAAGAAGCATGGAAATTGTCGAGGATCCCCATGCCTCTTGGTGGTTTCTCTATGAACTCTGTTTGGCTAAACTTTTATCAATTGCTTACTGTGAGTAAGAAACCTGATGCAGGCAGTGATGCTATTCTTGCTTTTCCCTGGATCTTATGGCAAATCTGGAAAGCCCGAAATTCTCTTGTCTTTGAACATATACAATCTTCGGGGTTCTCTATCTTATCAAGAGCATCAGAGGAAGCGGCAATTTGGCTCACTCTACAGTTACTCCCGCCTGATGCTTCTCACACTGCTTTACAGTCGGGTTCACAAGCTCCGAAATGGACGAAGCCACCAAATGGTATTCTAAAGTGTAATGTAGCCTTGTCTTGGGCTGATCCTCTACAAAACTCCGGCTCTGCTTGGATAGTTCGGAACTCTTCTGGCGTACCTCTATCACACAGCAGGCGTGCCTTTTCTCCTACGTCTTCTGCGGTGGAAGCGGAGTTACAGTCACTCTGGTGGGCTATGGAAGCACTAAAGGACATACATGTTCTCCCCTAGGAACCCTTCCTCGACTCTCTTATGGGATCTCAAGAATCCTAAGATCCATTAACTCCTTTGACTATTGCCAAGTACTATTGTGCCCTACAGAGGCTAATGCGATAGCTCTGCATATTGCAGTAAGTGTTACTAGAGACCAAAGATTGCAATCCTACATGGCTACTGGTGGTCCTAGTTGGCTCTCCCTCTCGATCACAGCTGAAGCAAGAAATGCTTGACCTCAGAACTTGGCTTCTTCGTCTAGTAAGAAGATTGGTACGCTAAGGATTTTATTTTTTCTTCTTCTTTCCAGTTTTTTTTTTTAAGGTTTCCTTTTGATGGCATCTATTGATGTTACTGCTGTTGTTTTTAATTCTCGCTATACTTTGTTCCTTCACCATGTCTCTTGACTGGTCCTTTTGAATGAATTATTCATTGACAAAAAAAAAACTCAATAACTGATGGACAAAATGGTTTGACCGAGAGAGCCCACATTTGTAGCATTGGGAGAAGTTCGAAGATAACATGATTAGTATTTTTCTCAGACTTGTAAAATGGGCTACTAATTTGACGTGATGTAGTAGGCTATAATATTAAATTTATTTTTAAGTGGTTATTTTAGTGAGTCAGTTTCAGTGCCGGTCCTAGGAAATTAAAGACCAGAAGCATTTTTTTCAAAAAAAATGACCTCTTTTGTTGAGCTTTGAACCAGGGTTGGGTGTAGAAAATTTGTAGATGCCAGATTTCACCACTACACTAAAGAAAACTTTTTGGAAATTGCGGCCAAAATTCTGTTTATAATTAAGCGGCCGGAAGCCATTACTTCATTTGCTTGGTCCAAGGGCCTGCTCTAATCAGCTTATTCATATTCGTGAGAATATTAATGTTTGTGGATAGCTTAAAAGCTAAAAAACAAAAGTAATTATTTTTATATATTAAATATTTAGAATCATTTTGAAACATACTATAATTATTTTATTATTATATATTTATTAAAAACATATACTATGTAGATAAATATTGTATAAGTCCTTAATATATTTAGTAATAGAACAATGAATGGTAATACAAACCATCAGATTCTATGTTTTTGTTACAAACTCTAAGAAACAAATTAAAAAATTATACACTATCTCATCAGAGACAAATAAATATTGGACTAATTGTTAATCTTGTATTGAGATACAAGAAATACTATTTTAATAGTTGCCTATCACCAAACGGTAAGCAAAATATTAGGATTTATTTGCCGCATAACCAAAGAAAGAGAAATTGAATTTTTAGAGAAATACTAAAGGGATACAGGAAGGAAGAGAAAGTAGAAAGGGGAGAGTTTTTTTTTTTTTTGGGTGTAAATGTTAAGATTCATATCAAATGCTTTTCAGTTTTTTTACAGAAATGTTGAACACAACTTATTACAAAAGAAAAAACAACGAGATTACAAAGGAAACAAAGATGGAAATATGCGAAAGATGGAAGGCGAGGCTAGGTACGGTGGATGGAGAACTAGCTGAAGGGGTCAATGAACCAGAAGTATAGTTGCAGAAGAGAGCGAGCTTGATTTGGCGAGGCTGGACAGGAGAGAAGCCTGTCTCGTATGGCTTGATCAATCGAGTGGAAGACAAGTGGTCAGGAGAGGAGGAGCCCTTGAAGATTCTAGCATTCCTTTCTTTCTTTCTAGACAGAGTACACAAGAACCTGTAGAAGAAGCTTGAAAATAGTTGCAACATCAGTGGAAAAATCATCATTCAGCCTTTGACTGAAGGCCAAACAAGAAGAGAAATCCGTGAGAACAGAGGTCGTGTGTCTCCTTGACAGGAAACCCCAAACACGAAATGAGAATGAGCATTGGAAGAATAGGTGATTGTGAGACTCCACATTAAGAAAAGCGTTAGTAAATTTAGTTTTTTTGGGTATATATATAGATAAATTTTCCTAAACATTAAGACAAGCGTGAGATACAAGTAATACTATTATATTAATTAATTAGTAAATTAAGTTTTTATTTTTGGTATGTATATGGATAAATTTCCCTAAACATTAAGAAAAGCCATAACATTATATTAGTTTTTTTGGTACAACTTTCACTTTTATATTAACAGTTTAATATCAATTCTTCTAATATGAAACATCTGATCTAGTAGCATAAGGTGGTGTATGTAACTAGACTAGAATAGAACACCAATGTAGTACATATCTCTATGATATGTAATTGCTATCTTAGCTAATGACTCTGCTTATTTGTTTTTCGAATAAGGGTGATAAAACAATATACAAGTCTGTAAATCTACTCTTTAATCGTGATAGCTATCTTAACGCCACATAAATTTTGGCCACATTAATGAATCTTGTATCATCGAGATCAGATCTTTGCAATCAGTACCAAAGTGTTGGCACGTCGATATTTGTAGCATGCGTTATATAATTTAAAAATTCCTTAAGCTCTGGATGTATCGATTTTTCCTCTGATTTTCAGCTCCTGAAAGTTGAACTTGCCCTATCGAAACCATCCAAAACCAATAAAGAGTGATTCATGATTCCACGATTTATCAACCATACAAATTTCCTATAAGCTTACGGCTTGTATAGATGATGGACTATGTCGTTCTTCAGTTTCCTCCACCTTTTTGATATTAGCCTCAAACCATGTTTGGTCTCTCACTTCCACATGCCTAACAGTGTCCAGCGGATGCCTGTTAATTCCTCTAGAAAATTTCTTATTTTGCGTTTTTTAAATATACCAAATAACTCATAGATAGTATTTCAAGCCATCTTTGAATCTTCAATATCGTTCTTACGCAGATTAGATAATTAATCCCTATTAATATATACACACGAAACAGGAAATAACAATGAATATAAAGGTATTGTTGCTAAGATCCAGGTTTAAAGAGTTGGTGTACACTAAAAAGTAGCATACTTTATGGATTCATCTTTTACTACGCATCTAAGACAATGATTAACATATTTCATATGGCTGAAGTGTTAAATTCATGGTTACAGTTTAACTACAGTTTTAAGTTACCAATCGGACCCACTATATAAGTATATAGTATTGTTTCCCTTCTTCGTTTATCGACATGGGAGTTAAGAGTGTACTCATTGCTTATAACTAAAGTCATAACTTGTAATAGTTACTAATTGTGATCTTATTAATTAACTCAATAAAACTAAGCGAATGACTAGAAGTTCCACTAACATTAAAGAGTAGGTCATGTGTCTGATTTGTCGTCTCCCAATAGGAAGGAACCAAAAGCATCGGCTCAAGTGGAGACCAGCAGTAAATCAGTAATCATATGTACACATTCATACATTTTAATGCAAGATAAGATAATAGCATTTCTGCCACGTGGCCTTAACATAGTGGTCAGTATCGATAAGGGTCTCAACACCTTTCTTTAATCATGTGGCAGTTAACGACGTTATCATGAAATCTGGACCCTCTGGTTACTAGGGCCTTTTCCTCTTGCGGTTCTCGCTATATATAGATATCAAAAGCAATAGACAAACAAGTAAGTTAAGAGAAAAGAAGAAGAAGAAGTAGTAATGGCTTCCTCTATGCTCTCCTCCGCCGCTGTGGTTGCCTCACCGGCTCAAGCCACCATGGTCGCTCCATTCACCGGCTTGAAGTCATCCGCTGCATTCCCAGTCACCCGCAAAGCAAACAGCGACATTACTTCCATCGCAAGCAACGGAGGAAGAGTTAGCTGCATGAAGGTAAATGTCACTAGAATAATTGTAGGCATGTCCTTTATTACACGCAACTGGTGCATTCGAACATGAATCCTATTCAAAATGCCTACAACGTACCTAGGATCAATAAATGTTCAAAACGTGAATTAGTATTCACCAACTGGAAATGCAATTTATAGGTGTGGCCACCAGTTGGAAAGAAGAAGTTTGAGACCCTCTCTTACCTTCCTGACCTTTCCGATGTTGAGTTGGCTAAGGAAGTCGACTACCTTCTCCGCAACAAGTGGATTCCTTGTGTTGAATTCGAGTTGGAGGTAATAAAAACATAAGTTTCGTTTTCTTGGATCTAAACATCTTTAATTACACAATGTCAATTCTGATTTCGAATTGAATTCTCATGTGTATAGCACGGATTTGTGTACCGTGAGCACGGAAGCACACCTGGATACTATGATGGCCGTTACTGGACAATGTGGAAGCTTCCCTTGTTCGGATGCACTGACTCTGCTCAGGTGTTGAAGGAAGTCCAAGAGTGCAAAAAGGAGTACCCTAACGCTTTCATCAGGATCATTGGATTCGACAACAACCGTCAAGTCCAGTGCATCAGTTTCATAGCCTACAAACCACCAAGCTTCACCGATGCTTAATTTGCTATGTAAACAATTCACATATTATCTCTCCTCATTTCATTTCCAATTGTCTGTTTCTTTTCCCTTTGCATTTCTGTTTCTGAGACATTCTATATCGGATTGTCAAATGTCTGATTGTGAACATGTATTCTCTATATTGCTTCTTCGTCTTGGTTTCTTTCCGATGGTCATTAGGTTTTCAACTTTTATTGGGCTAAGAAAACAGTCAATATAGCTTTACAAGACGGGTTAGATTATGTTAGTGGTAATATTTTGTAGAATAGGAAAACATCACTACCTAGAAAAATATATTTCAAATGAAGTGAGTTAGTTCATCAAAGATTCAAAGAACAATCATTTTATCCTTTTTATCGCCATATACGGGTTTATGTATATCAAATATAGATTACATTTTTTTTTGCTAAAAATCTAGATTACAATTCATTCATAAAGTAGTCATCATTTCATATTTTACACTTCTTACGTGGACTTTATGAGATCTTTTGTACACACCACTGGTACATTGTCACTGGAAATAAGATACATGCATTATATAGATATATCTACTACTTCCTAGATAACAACAGGTATAAGTATGTCATTCTTATTTAGTTAATTCTTTTGAAGGGAAAAGTTAACAAAATTTTCTACTTCTCTATAATACCCACACACATTGTTAACCACTGGCGGAAAGGATGGTCCACTCTAAATCATTGATGGACACATTTGTGGACGATGTGCGTACATATATAAGATAGAGAATCTGAATAGAAAAAAAAAGATTGAGAACGTGGATAAGAGTGAATTTAAAAAAAAAATAATTTCCATAATACTTTTTAAAAATATGCGCGCGCACACACACATATATATATTTCTTAATTATAGGTAAGTAAAACATTGGATGTAAAAAGAAAAAGTTAAGTAAAACAAGATTATAATCAAAAGTAACACAAGAAGAATTTCATTTAGGCATTGAAAAACAAAAATATAGATCACTAAAAATGTTTTCAAAAAAATAAATAGATCACTAGATATATTTTTGTGACTATATGACGACAAAGACACGAAAAGTGACAAAAAAACATCGTGTCTATACTTGGTGACCAAAATTGACAGTGACAGTTTGTGTCCAAAATAGTCACGTTCTGCAGACGGTTGATGTCGTGACTAAAATGGTCACGATTAGGTATGAGCATTTTGGACATCAATTTCGGTATTTTAGGTATTGTGTCGTTGGATACGAGATAAAGGATCCATTAACTGCTTATTCTATTTTTGGTTCAGATTCGGGTTGTTTCAGATTTGGTTTTGTTCGGATAGTAAAACTAGGAACATGAAAATATCCGAAAATGGTTCTTATTTGTGTGAGATGTGGTCTTCGATCTAAAGCCCAAAAGAGTAAAGAAAACATGTTTACAGAAGAAGGAAAAAATTATAAGCTTGTTGGACCTTACACGAATTAAAAAGTTTAAAAATAGAGAGACTTACTTGAAGACATGAAACTGCGTCGGAGAGGATTATATCCTTTATAACGTCTGTAACAACCATCTTCTTCTTCGTCTGGTGAGATCGAGAGAGGTTGACTCGAGTGATTGTTGATCTTGCTGGAGCTTCTGTAAACGACTATGATAGTGAATTCCAGACACCGATCCTGAAGGAGATGTACCTAGTCTATTGACGGGGAACTCTAAAACGTCCCACATGTTCTTTGTTTTCTTCTTCTTTCTTTAGCTTATCTTTCGAGTGTTTACGGAATCGTGAACCTGAAACAAACGAGAGTCGATCAAACAGTTAGAGAATCAATAGAGAACGAATTCGTTGAGTGTCATAGATAGCTAGATACTTCTACAAAAGGTATCAGAGCTCTGGTTGCAGAGCAAGGAGGAGGATCAAGAAGACGATCGGGTATCGTCATCAGATTCGATCACATAGTATATCATGTTGTTTCTATTTCAGCTTAGTCTCAGATCTATTCTTGTTGATTGTAGGTGACAGGTTTGTCGCGGTAACATCAACAAGATGGATCCAACTCGAGGAAATTTTTAGATAGAGAAATTTGATGGAAAAGGAGATTTCAGATTATGGAAGTTCAAGATGCTTGCTCAGCTGGAGATCCAAGGACTTTCAACAGTCCTAAACGAAGATGCAGACTCAGCATCAGATTCGGAAAAGCCTGAAGATGAAATTAAAAGCAAGAAGGATCCAAAGATGGCCGATAAGGATCTTCGAGTTAGAAGTCTTCTAAGTACGAGTTTGAGTGATGTTATACTAAGGAAGATAATGCATGAACAGACGGCATTGGGAATGTGGAAGGCTTTGGAGAAGGACTATCAGACTAAGTCCTTACCAAATACGATCTACCTAAAGAAGAAATTTTCATACTTCAAGATGGAGGATGATAAGGCTATGGAAGAGAATTTTGACCAGTTCTTAAAGCTAGTAGCCGACTTGGCTAGCATCAAGATCGAAGTATCTGACGAGGACCAGGCCATTCAACTGCTATCAGGTCTACCTACAGTTTATGAACCTCTGGTTCATACTTTGCAGTATGGAACAAGGAGAGACACTTTGACTGTAGGAGAGGTGATGACTGCGGCATATTCAAACGAAGCTGAGTTAAAGCAGAAAGGCTTATTGACAAAAGGAAAGCAGGCAGAAGGCTTGTAGGTTGAGTCTTGAGGAAGATCGTCACATAGAAATGAAAACGGAAACAACAAGTCTTGGAATAACAAGTACAAGGGTAGAGGAAGATCAAAGTCTCGAGGGAAGAACACATGAAAGATAGATAAGACCTGCTGGATCTATGGAGCTGAAGATCACTGGAAACGTCATTGTCCTGAAAGGAAGAAGGGCTCATTCCAACCAAGAAGCTCAAACTCAGCAAATTTTGCTGCTAAACTACCAGGTCCTTTGGTATTAACAGCAAGTTTGTTCGTATCTGAAGATGAATGGGTGTTATATTTTGGGTGTACGTTTCATATAACACCAAGAAAAGAGTTATTATCAGATTTGGTAGAGTTTAAAGGAAAAAAAGTAATGATGGGCAACAAATCTCATGGCATTGTGAAAGGGATTACTATCACCGAACAAAGATGGATCAGTGGTGACTCTGAGTAACGTAAGATACATGCCAGAAACGGGGAGAAACTTAATATCTTAGGGGCAGCTAGAGCAGTCTTGTTGCAACTATGAAGGCATGGACTATAAGATTTTCTTCTACAAGAATAAAAGGAAGGTTCTAACAGGAAGTTACAACAATGGGCTCTACTATCTCGAAGGAAATGTTAGAAAAGTAGAAGCTAACTCAGCAAAGAATAGTGTTGACCACACTCAGAGGTAGCATACACGCTTAGCTCACATGAATATAAGATCAATGTAGACTTTGGCAAGGAAGGGATACATTAAGCGTGAGGAGATAGGGCATCTCGGGTTCTGCGAGTCGTGTGCTATGGGAAAATCACATAAGCAGAGCTTCCCAAAGGCTAAGCATACTACACAAAGGATTTTGGACTACATTCACTCTGATCTATGGAGATCACCGAACACAATATCGAGCTTATCAGGGGCTCATTATTTCCTTACTCTTACTGATGATTATTCAAAGAAATTTTGAATCTATTTTCTTAAAACTAAAGATAAGGGTTTCTCTTGTTTTGCAGAATGGAAATTGCTAGTAGAAAATCAAGCAGAAAAGAAGGTCAAGTGCTTGAGGAAGAAAAAAGGCTAGAGTTTTACAATCAAAGATTTTATGAGTTGTGCAAGAGCACCGAGATAAAACGACACAAGACGTGTCCATACATACCGTAACAGAACGGTGTGTCAGAGAGGATGAATCGAACAATTGTGGACAAGGTCAGGACAATGTTACACGAGACTGGTTTAGGTGGATATTTCTGGGCAGAAGCAGCATCAACCGCTGTTTATCTAATAAACCGGTCACCAAATTCTTCAATAGATTTTGAGGTTCCAGAGGCAAGATGGACAGGGACTGATCCAGATTACAGTCATTTGAGAAGTTTTGGGTGTATAGCTTATGTTCATTAAGTAAAAGAGAAAATCAATCTAAGAGCAGCAAAGGGTGTTCTATTGGTTATGCTCAAGGAACTAAAGGATACTGAGTATGGCTCTTGGAAGAACAAAATCTCGTAATCAGTAAGGATGTGGTGTTTAATGAAGACCAGCTATATAAGGATAGAGAAAAGGATGTGGGTGTTCAAGCTGTGACAAAACCAAGCAAGACAACGAAGAAAGTAACCTTTAAGAGCAATCTAGAAGAAGTCTTTGAAGGGGAAACCTCAAATTCAGGTGGAGCTGTTTCAGAAGATGTGGATGTAAGAGATCAAGAGGCATCAGAAGGGGGATTAGAGGTTGGTGAGGAAGAAGAGAAGGAGCAAGAGAAAACTCAATATTTAAGTTCATATCTGTTGGCTAGAGACAGAGAACAAAGAACTATTAAGCCTCCCTCTAAGTTTGAAGATGCAGATTACTTAGCGTATGCTCTATCAACCGCATAAGACATGTATCCCAAAGAACCTAAGAGCTATGCAGAAGCACAACAAAGTAAAGATAGGGATCACTGGAATAAAGGTTCAGATGAAGAGATGGATTCACTGGAGAGAAATGGAAAGTGGGTCTATGTTGAGAGACCTAAGAATCAGAAAGTTATAGGCTTTATATACTTAAGCCAGGAGTTCCAGAGATTGGTCAGTCACCGAGGTACAAATCAAGTGGTAGGAAAAGGATTTGCGCAAATAGAAGGACTGGATTACAACGAGGTGTTTGCACATGTTGTTAAGCATGTTTCTATAAAGGAATTGAAGCAGATGGACGTAAAGACAGTCTTCCTTAATGGGGTACTAAAGGAAAGGATTTTTATGGAACAAACAGAAGGATACGTTCAGAAAGGAAAGAACGATCAGGTGTGTCTACTAAAGAGGTCTCTCTACGGTTTAAAGCAATCACCGAGAGAGTGGAATCATAGGTTTGACAAGTTTATGATCAAGCAAATGTTCAACAGG